GATCTCACATCTTTGGGCAGGATGTTGTGGAGAAGCCGGCGGTTGTAGGCTTGAAGTTCCTCCATCTCCTCCTTTTCTTCTGTGGCCTGTAGAAGAACAGACAAATGACAGATTTTAAATTCTGAAAGGATGAAATTCTCGATGTATTTTATAAACAAATTGTTTATTGACAACATTGGCACTTAGTGTGCCAAGCTAACAACAACAAAGATCTGTAGCAGTAGTTCAGTGGTTAAAATTTTGGTGTTGGCCAAAATATTGTAGGCTCAAACCCTGACCTGAAGTTTCCAAAGGAAGTCTAGACGAGCCGTTGACTCCACTTGCTGGGCATGCAGGTACAGTGCTAGTACAAAAACAGTGAGGATCACCGGGGTCATGACCTTTAGGGACACTTTAGTCACCCTGAAAGTACTGAAATGAGAGAGATCAGGTCAGCCACAGGATCAATTATTTACATCACAGCATGGATGTAACAGAATACAGCACACAGCCACAACAAAGAGTTAGTGTCTTCAAGTAAACATTAAAAATCATTCAAAAAAATGATGAAGACATGGAAACAAAGACTGTATTAACTGCACATACCACTGCTCAGTAGTTGTATTGAGACTGGACCTGTGGAAAAACCAAGAAAATTAAACATTTTTGCATTTATAAAAACAATAAATTAAAAATGACGAATAATGGGAAGCATAAGAGATGAATTGAAGTCTCACCATTGCAGAGTTTCATTGAAAACACTAAAAAAAAACACAACATAAACATGTTGTTTAAAGGTTAACATCACAAGAACATTTAAATCTTACAGCATTTATTTATAGCACAAATAAACAAACTATATTCAAATCAGTATTCAAATCAGAGATATTTTAATCTATTTTTTATATTACTTTTATTGCATTTTATTATTTTTATATTATTTCATATGTTATAATTAATATCGCAAACAAGTTTTAACTGAAAAAAACTTTAAAATGATTAAAAATAATTCTCGTTAATTGAAATAAAGCTGATGATAGATAGATAGATAGATAGATAGATAGATAGATAGATAGATAGATAGACTACTAAAACTTAAACTGAAAATATAAAAATAAAACTAATTCAAAAGATCAAATAACCATAATATAATAGCATATAAATTATATTTAAATAACATAGTTGCAACCCACAGTATTTAATATGTTAATACTAAATGATTGTAATAAAATGTCATTATATTATTGAATATAATCACCAACAACAGGCCACAGATCAGCTCTAAACATAAAGACGCTACAAAGCCACTTCTCTCTGTGGTGTTTGAGCTGTACTGACGCCCTCTAGAGGCTGGCAGCGGTACTCACAGAGCATTGGCAGTAACGAAGAGGTCTGCGTTGTCAAACAGCGCCACCTCTGGCCACTCCACAAGCAGCAGGAAAGTGAGCTGGATGAGCAGCATTAAAGCCAGCTTCCCTATACTACTGATCTGCAGGAACACTGAGCAGGCCAACAGGGTCAGCAGTACACTGTAGCTGAAATACTGAAAGAGACATAAGGGAGAAAACATGAATCCGGTTTCATTTGGAACATTGTTTTGATCTTAGTGTGACTATACACACGTTTTACCTCAGGGAAGGGGCAGGAGGGAGTGTTGCTGGGACAGATATTCAGGCCGTCGGCTGCAGAGCGAGACAAGTTGTGAATCACACAGGGAGTCACCATTTCTGACGACCAGTTAAATTGCTCCGCTACACAGTCCACAAGTTTCCGTGTATCACAGGAAAACTGCAGGAGACACAAAACATACACTCATGCTCCAAAATACATAATCAGATTTCCTTCTACATATCAGAACAGATTTGGAGAAATGTATCATTACATCACTTGCTCAGCAATGGATCCTCTGCAGTGAATGGGTGCCGTCAGAATGAGAGTCCAAACAGCTGATAAAAACATCACAATAATCCACAACTAATCCACACCACTCCAGTCCATCAATTAACATCTTGTGAAGCTTAAAAAAACTGTGTTTGTAAGAAACAATCATTATCATTAAAGGGTTACTCCACCCTAAAATGAAAATTCTGTCATTAATTACTCACCCTCGTGTCGTTCCAAACCCAGAAGACCTTCGTTCATCTTTGGAACACAAATTAAGATATTTTTGATTAATTCTGAGAGCTCTCTGACCCTCCCATAGACAGCAATGTAATTACCACCATCAAGGTCCAGAAACGTAGCAAGGAGATCGGTAAAATAATCCATGTGACATCAGGTGTTCAACCGTAATTTGCACGAAGCTACGAGAATACTTTTTGTGCGCAAAGAAAACAAAAATAACGACTTTATTCAACAATTTGTCTCCTCCGCGTCATACATTTTCTATGTTTATTTATGCTTTGATTTAAACGAAAACAACGTATCTGCGTGACGCAGCTGACGCAGAATAGCATACGCTGTTTACGTTCAGTGGATACTCTCCAAAATAGCGCTACGGTGACGCGGAGGAGACGAATTGCTGAATAAAGTTGTTCTTGTTGTTTTCTTTGAGTACAAAAAGTATTCTCGTAGCTTCGTAAAATTACGGTTGAACCCCTGATGTCACATGGATTATTTTACCGATC